CCCGTCCCAGCAGGTGAGTTTGTGCAGGCTCATCCCCAGCCTCCAGGTACGGGGCTGGACCAGGCTGTGCAGCTGGGGGGTCCCTGCGCAGGACGGGGACGGCCTGGGGACCGGGTGGCAGGGCCGGGGAGGAAGGACGGCGGCTGGGCAGCCCCGGGTTTTCTCTGTTAGATCCTCCTAGGAAGTTGAAGGGGGACATGCCAGCACTGGGGGCTTGCCCAAGAGCAGCCTGCATGGCCACCTGCACTTCCCAATGCATGGCCGGGGTCTCTGTCCCCAGCCCCACCAAACTTGGCTTCTTTGCCTCACCCAGGCTTTGAGCTCCCTTTGCCCGCTCCAAACCCTGGAACTGCTTTTAAAAAATCTCTTCCCCAGGCGCGCCTGCGGAGCCTCTCCACCGAACAGCAAGAAGACCCAACGAAGACGCCAACCCCCAATGCGGAGACCTCCAAAACCATCTATTTCACCATCCGGGCTACCACCCAGGTGAGTTGGTGTTTGTGGCCGTCCCCCCTGGGGGGGTTCCAGCACCAAGCAAGGCGATGGAGCCTTGGAGCACCCAAGACCCCAGGGTGAGACACACAGCCCTGGGAGCAAGGGGCATGGATGGACGGACGGGTCTTCACTGAGCTTTCTTGGGGTCCAGAGCTTCAAGCCAAGCCCGTGGCTCACCTCTTTCATAGAATCATAGAATCACTTTGGTTGGAGAAGACCTTTAAGATCATCAAGTCCTTTAACCTAACCCTGCCATCCCACCACTAAACCCTGGCCCTAAGCACCTCATCTCTCCTTCTTTTAAATCCCCCCAGGGATGGGGCCTCGACCCCCTCCCTGGGCGGCCCCTTCCAGAGCCTGACAGCCCTTTGGGGAAGAAACGGAGCCAACAGAGGGAGCGGCTCCCATGAGCCCAAGCAAAGCTTTTGTCCCTTTGCAGTTGCAGATGGACGATGAGATGGGCGACAGCGTGTCGAGGTGCTGGGAGAAGGACGATAAGACCATCTACTTGTCCATCAGCTAGCCACAGCCCCCACAGTGCAGCCCTGGCACGGCTCCGGGGCACCCAGGAGCCTTGATCTGAGCACCCTGCTCCTCTCCGCCCGGCCCCAGCCCATGGGGCTGCAGCATCCCCTCTTCCCCCTCCGATGTTGGCAGCGATCCCCAGCCATCGACGTGAGGATGTAAGGACCCCGTAAGCGCCAGCTCATCCGGCACAGGAGCTCTGCCCGTGTTTCGGCATCCACGTTGGACTTTGGGCTCCTTTTTCTGCCTTTTCTTGACCAGATGAAGGAGCATGGACCAAAATTGTGCCCGCAAACCCAGCCCTCCCGGCGCAAGGACATGAGCTGATGCTCCCGGGATTCGCCCTGCAGCAGAGCCTCGGGATGAGAGGGCTGGAAAACTTGAGGAGCTCCTTAAAGCTCTTTTTTAATTGGGTTTTTTTTTTGGTTTTTTTGTTTGGTTTTTTTGCTATAGCAAACTTGGCTAATACTTTGGTGGCTTCTTTTGGCTGCTAGACAGAGAGCAAGCAAAAATACCACGTGGCAGTAGTAAGCTGATGGAGGAAACCCGTACCCCTGCCCGGGCGCACACACCCAGGCTGCTGCGGTTTCGGTGCCGGCTGCTCCCCCAACGCTCGCTGCTCCCGGGCCCACCGGGGACCTTCCAAACCTCGCAGCCCCCCGGTGCCACGCTCAGCATCGCTTTATCCCCCCAGCGAGCTGCTTGCGATCCCCTGAGACGCTGCAGGGCTGGGCCGGGGCACGGGGGGCAGGAGGTGATTTGGGGGAAAAGAGGACAAGGAACGCGGCTGGCGGCCGCTCCATCGATGCGTTTGGGCACGAGGTTTTATTCTTGGATGAACTATTTGTGCAAGCGCTGTGTTTTCGGCTTCCCCACCAGAGCTTCAGGGAGGAGAGGGGCTCTCCGGACCCCCAGCCATGCAGGGATGCTGCACGGCGCAGGAGCGCCCGCATCCCACCGGGATGCACATCCCACAGCTGGAACCCCGTGGATTCCCCCCGAGCTGGGACTCACAGGGACCTGGGTGCCCAGCAAGCGGGGTGCAGGGCACATCCCCCCCTGCTCCCCAAACCCAGCAAAACACTCACGTTGGCATCAATTTTCCGGCGCCGGCGGCCAGGCAGATGCTGCCGGCGCTAGCCCCTTCCGGCGGGCGCCGCTTCCCCCTGCTCTTTGTCTTGTCTGTGCGGATGGGAAATTATTCAGGGATGAAACAGGAGATTTCTTTGAAGTGCCTGGCACGGGAGAGCCCTCTAGGAGATACCAGAATAAAAATGCAAGGCACATCTGGGCTCAATTTCTGTCTGCCTATTATTTGGGGTGAAAACAGGCCATTACCGACATGCCCGTGGCGTAATTTGTTTATTCGCCGCGTTTTCGCAGCATGCGCCAGCCTTGGGTTTGAGTCCCTCAAATCCGTGCCGATCGATTAAAAATGGATACGCTGGCGGGTCATGGGGGGGTCTACCCAGGGATTCGGCCCGGTGGCCCCAAATCTGTCCTTGTGACTCTGCTCTCCAGCCTGGATAGGGCTTGGAAGAGTTTGAGCGGTGAGGGCACCAGGGGACCCGGGGCAGTGCCGGAGCATCGCCGCCTCCTTCGCCCACGCCGAGGGCTGACGGGGCTCCATCCCATACCCCGGGGCACAGCGCCCCCAAAATGACCCCTGGGGATGGTTTCTGGCCATTAATCACCCGATGGCAGCGGCAACACCTTTGAGCTCGCAGTAAGCCGTTGGTCGGGCAGAAAGGGGAAGGAAGCCGTTGTGCAAGAGGGGGGGAGCAGCGGTGGAAGGGGCAGTGGGGCAGAGGAGGATGGAGCCGGGCGGCGTCGGGATGGGGTTGCTCTGCATCGCCGTGCTCT